ATCATGTGAGGGGGTTCGCACCCTGCTCCAGGATGCTGCCTTCCCATTCAGTAAGGAATCACCTCACCTCGCCATTTCTGTTTTGGAGAAAAAAGGCTCTTTTTCCACGGAGACGCGCCTTGGCAAAAAACCATTCTGCAGATAGGGAGGAATGAAAGCCAACTTGCAATGCTGCAGAGCGTGAGTCTCCTACACGTGGGGGAGCCAGAGCACTCCTCAGCTGGCACAACACAGGGACCCGGTGACGCACAGGCACGGCCATGCACGAGTGGCAGCACCTGGACATGGGGACAGAGCGGGCAGCACCAAGCACAGGGCATCCAGCATCTATCTGCTCATCACCCCCTCCTCCTTTTCACAACCTACAGCAAGTTTGTGCTTTATGGCTTGGGTAATTCTAATAGCATTTGTCAACTTGCAATCAAAAGTTGAGCTTAATGATTTTTAGAAAAACAAGTCAGGTTTACACCAGAAGAGAAATGTGTGAATGCTGGTTATTTAAATGATTAGTGCATTTTAGGGATTGGTTTCTGAAAGGGGAAAAAAACCAAGAGAATTTATTGCAAAGACTGTGAAAACAGATCACTTTCAGAATTGGACATTTTCTTTCCTTTGAATTGCTTTGGGAGACTGAGAAGCAGCAATGGAGAGATTTCAGCAATAGGTTATACTTCAGAGCTCCACAAGCTGGTACACCTGAACAACGTACCTGGGGCAAGAGGTATTCTCCAGCCACTCCACAGAATGCTCTCTCAATACTTCCATGAGAGTAAAAAAAACCCTTTTCAATTCTTTAGCAACTTGAATCAATTTGGTTGCATGCTAAGTCATGTGTGCACTCTATTGCCAAAAGGGCAAAGCACAGCCTGGGTTACAGTAGGCCATCAAATCCACGCTGCCCACTTGCCTTTTCATCCACCTGACTGGAGGCAGAGCCCCTCTAGATTAGTCAGAGTATTAATTACCTGAGTCTTGTAAATTTAAACCAGAAATCCCTTCATTAGGGCCAGGACTACCATAGAATCATTTAGAATCATAGAATGGTTTGGCGATCTTTAAGGTCATCTAGTTCCAACTCTCTCTGCTATAGGCAGGGCCACTTCCCTTTAGACCAGGTTGCTCACAGCCTCGTCCACAGAATCACAGAATGGCCAGGATTGGAGGGGACCTCAAGGATGACGAATCTCCAACCCCCCAGCCACATGCAGGGCCACCAACCTCCCCATTTAATGCTAAACCAGGCTGCCCAGGGCCCCATCCAACCTGGCCTTGAACACCTCCAGGGATGGGGCATCCATAACCTCTCTGGGCAGCCTGTTCCAGCACCTTACCACTCTCTCTGTAAAGAACTTCCCCCTGACATCCAACCTAAATCTTCCCTCCCAGCCTGGCCTTGAGTGCTTCCAGGGATGAGACGTTCATAACCTCACTGGGCATCAGCTCTCCTCTCCCTGAGGAATCAGCAACTGGAATGGTAATTTTACTGGATGGACTTTTTTTGGCTACCATTCATTTTTGCTCACTGTTCGTGTATCTGAACTTGCAGATTCGAGGTGGGTTCATCACCCCACTTCCTCATGTCCTCCCCTGGTCATGTAGATGCATCCATGGAATCCTTTCCTTTAAGCAGAGGAAAGCTGACTCTCAGCAACTGAGATGCTGGCCTATATGGTTGAGGACAATCTCTGAGTTACTGGAGCTGTTGGCCTCTCCACAGTCAAGATGCAGGCACATAGGGTCAAGAAGAAGAGACGTTCCTTTTGATTAGCTGAACAACTGACCTGTCCATCACTGGTGCCTGCAAATCATCCAGATCGTTGTAGCCAGGATGCTGGTATATAATATCAGCTTGCTCATCATAAACTTCTGCCACATGGTCCGCATGCACTGGACTTAATCTGGATCTTTGGGTGCTTGGTTGACATCCACGTTGTGGCAGACCACCTCCACCATGGCTAATTCCATCAGTTACTGGATACCTTCCTCAGCAGTGGTCCACTAACCTCAGTGGTATACAGGATCCTCCTTAAAGAGATACCTTTTCCATATGCTTAACTGGAGAAGCTGCCTCCAGAGGCTAAATGAGCTGACTTCTGCTTCTATTGTTTCTTTACTTGGCTGTAGCAAGTACCTGAGTCTGAAGACTAGGAAGCAGAGGTTGGGTTTCTGGCTTAGCTATTGGTCTCTTGGAGACCCTGTCTCACCCTGAAGGCACTGCATAGTGGTTAGTAGGTGCAGACCAGGCCCCAGTACAGCCTGAGGAGTTGTGTCCCTCTGGCACAGCCAGAGCATCGCTTGCTCAAATGCTGTGCCCCATCTTTTGGGGCTTGGGGGCGAAATTCTATATTGCTGGATGGAAAAACTGCTCTTGGTGTCTGTTCTCATTCACTCACGCGTCTTTCCAAGACATTCCTAAATAGCTGGTTAGCCTTAGGAAAAGCCAGAATCACATTTCTGAGACAAGCACTCAGAGCAGCCCAGGACACTCAAGGTACTGAAGAGCTGTTGGAGCAAGGGAAGAAGCATCTGCCCTGCAGAAGCAGAAGGTGCCATTCTTTGTCTCCTTTACAAACTGGCTCTCAGAAAAGTGGGAAAAGTTGCAGTTATTAGTTGTCTCCACGAGATGGTTCCCAAAGCACTGGGAGAGCAGCACTGCAGGGCCCAAATACCAGATTAGGCTCGAGGCCAGTGCTTTTATCATTGCTCTCCCAGGCAAAGCACAAGCAGGTGCTGCAGAGCACAGTAAACCGCAAAAGGCAAGAACAGCCTTTAACAAGCTCTCAAATTTGATGTACAGCAAGAGAAGGAGCCTAGCATGAAGTAGGTAAGAAACCAAATAAACCAGTGGTGGGAACAATAAACATTGTGACCAGCAACAGGCTTAACAGAAGCTCTCCCTCTAACATGCTCCATCCAAATGTGTCGCTACCTCTGTTCTACCCCGAATTAGGCACCAGAAAGGATTGTTGTGGGCTCACCCTGGAGGGCAGTATGGCAGACTGTGCAGCTGCTTATTCACACTCATTGCCTCCCACTTCCCAAGCAAGCTGGGACAGAGAATCAGAAAAGCAAAAGAAAGAAAAGTTGTGAGTTGAGATAAAAACAATTCAATAGGAAGGGAAAAAAAAAACCACAAAAAAACAAGTGATGCAGAAGCAATGACCCCAGCCAACTGATGCCTAACCAGACCCAAAGCAGCAGCTCCCCTGGAAGACAGCCCAGCTTCTATTGCTGAGCGCAACGTTCCATGGCACAGATTGTCCCTTTGGTGAGCTGCAGTCAGCTGTCCACCTGTCCCCAGCCTGCTCACTGTGGGGGGAGAGTGAGATGCACAGAAAGCCTGGGTGCTGTGAAAGCTCTGTTCAGCCAAAGCATTGGTCCGCTACCGATACTGCTGTGGTCACAAATCTAGAACACAGCACCATACAGGCTGCAATGAAGGAAATCAGCTCTATCCCAGCTAGTTCCATCCAGTGCACCACAGTAAGTTTTTATTCTCCTCTCCACCATACCCAGAGAGGCTGTTCCCGAAGCGGCCTGTTTTGGGCTTGCAGCCCAACAAGCTTAATATGAAAATGGCTGTGGTCCCTGGACGGCTACCCTGCTGCTCAGGACATTGCAAGGATGGCCACCAGGAGGGGTTGACAGAGTTGGGACTGCTTAGACCTCTGAGAGCAGACTAACAGGCAACCAAACACTACCAGCCTACAAGTACAGGGTAGGGAATTAAAGACAGGGGAGCCAAACTCTTCTTAGTCATGACAGAAGTAATGAGCCATCACCACCAACTGTTGTGAGGAAGGACATCAGAAACTCCTTCACAAGGAAGGTGAAGCAGCACTGGGGCATGCTGCATGGGGAACCTGTAAGAAGTTTCCAAGGCTTGGTGTTGGCAACAATCCCACTGTGAACAGGAGATCTGAACACATGACCCTTAGCACTCCCCTTCCAGCCAAACATTTCTAAGCTCCTATGTACCTTGTTTTCCAAACAATTAGAAGTTGAATTTTACAGCCTTCTTACACAACATTATCACAATTGTGAAGCTGGAAAAACCAGGCTGGAAGTTCCATTAGACACATATGAGACAGCCATCCTAACCACTGCAGCTGTGCTCTTTGCAGATGAATTCAGTTTGGTTTTATGAGCAATTGGGACCTTGTCCTGTATTTTGCATACCCGTGGAATGGTCCAGCAATACAAATCCTGGAACGAAGTTCAGAGGAGCAGCTGATAGGTGCTTCTGGTTGAGTCACTTGTGTTTTGGATCAGAGTACTGGTGGCAATTAAGAAAAGCAGACATAAACATTAGGTGCAATTTTCTGTGCCAAAGCCCTTCTGAAATGCAAGGGCATGGGAAGGAAACGGCACATGTCCTCGGCTTTGCTAAAAACCAAAATCACCTCACTCCTCAAACTCTTTAATTAATGTACATTCTGATAATTCTCTTGGTCATTAGAAAATTAAAAAACAAACAAACAAACACAACAAACGTGACCCTGAAAACAGTTTTTTGGTTTTTTTTTCCCATCTTACGGATGAGAATTTCACTATATATATACATGTACTACTAAGACAGCTGAAGACAACACAGCTTCTGTCACCTGGATGGCTGAAGCAAATGTTATGAATTCCCTCCAAAACCAGAACTCAGACCTCCCCTCCCCGACATCCTTATAGAAGTAGGTGAGGAAAATAATCCAGGAGAATAAAACCAGAATGGTCTAAAGATTCCACCACTGCTCAGCAACTGCATATGGTGTGGGGAACCCAATTAACCCACAGTTTAACAGAGAGGTGTAATTCTTTGCTTGTGTTTTACCTGGATAAACCAAGGCAACAAAAATTTCTCAATAGTTATAGACAAATATATTGAATATAAAATTACCCAATAACAGTGGTACGGACAACTCATTTTGACTTCTTTTTAAATTACTGTTAAGGAGCAGTTTAAGAGCAAGCAGAACTTTCTGGTGGTAAAAACACAAAACCATTCTAAATAGTTTTGTCGATTTGCCTTTATTAGTAAAAAGTACAAATAAAAAAGATGTACTTGCATGAAAAAATAAACCAGGTGTACACAGTTGTTTTGCATGTTTGATTTTTTTCTTCATATAACCGAGGTAAGATAGCTCAGAATATCTCCAGCAGACCCCAGTTTCCTGTAGCCTTTAATCATTTTGAAGCACTTAGCGTAGATGTAAAATAAAGACAAGGTATGGCTTCTTCTATATGTAACATGTAACAATCAGGTCCAGGTCCAGAAAAGCTGTCTGAAATACAACTGGGGTTGAATTTAAGTATTTACTTTCAAGCCTGGTGCCTACGTTAGCTAACCAGTGTACATTTGCACCTGTGAAGTTCCCTGAAGTTCTAAGGCAGATGCCCATGGATGCCATCACCTGTGTGCTCTTCTGCAGCCTCCAGCCTTCCTGCAGCAGCAGCACCAACATGGGCAGAAGTGCCCTGAGCTTGGGAAGACAGAAAATGCCAGGGCAGGCATGGAAAACAAAGTGCAAGCAAGAAGTGGTCTCATGCTGAAGACATTCTCCAAAATAAAACAAGTCCTGAGTTTTGGACACTGCTCCTGTACAAAGATTGTCTCAAGCGTCCTTATTATACATGCAATATTACAGTATAATATAGACATATATTACATGGAATATTATGTACATTATGCGGGATACATTTTCAGTATATTTTTAGAGGATACAGTTTGTATTTGTATTTTGCACTCGGTGGAATGCAACACACTGGTCTATGATAAATAAGCTGTGTGACAGAGCGGGGAGGAGTGCAGGGGGAGAAGGAGGGAGGAGAGAATTTAACAGAAATAACTCCACTTAGTGTTTGAGTGAACGATGTAATGAAATCTGTTTGCTGTGCTAGCTGTCTCCAGATCGGGCTGTAATTACACCACAGAAGGAAGAAAGGTAGCTGAGTCTCAATCTAGATCATTTATGTAAACTCAGCCTTCTTGTCAACGATGTTCTCAGATTGCATGCATGCAAACCACAAAAATCATCTCCTATGAACAAAACAGAGACAGTCTCACATTGCAAGCTCCTGATACACCTCAAGCTTTCTGTAGTTGGACTTTAAAATTCAGAACACTGAGATTCAGAACTTCTCCAATGTTTTCTCCATTTCATTCAGAGCCGCGAAAGGCTGCGCTCACAGAAGAATTTCACACAGACTTTGTGTTCTTTTCTGCCCAAGGCTGACATCTAGCCTTACAAATTACCATTTATTTGGCTGAAACGAATACAAGCATCGCAAATCCAGGAAATTATTCTGTGTAAGGTTGTGCAGAAACAAACTACTCGATCTTAGAGAAGGGTATTCCCTCAATTCCTTCAATTCTTTGACCCAGAGAAGCACATTCTGTACGCACAGTACAAAAACCAGGCAGCCACTTCCCTCAGCAGAGCCAAATTAATATTTGATTAAATATCTTAAAGCTCCTACTTACCATGCTTGACACATTTTCTCGGCAAGTTTCTCAGATAGGGAAAGCATTAGACACAGGGCAACTTTACATTGCAATACATGAAAAGAGCGCGAGGAGCCCCGGCCGCGCAGACAGATCAAGGACTTTCCCCTGTTAATTCCCTGCCCTGCAGTGGAAGATGGGGTGCCCGCTGGCTCTGGCAGCCGGGGGCGTTTTGTGTGACACCCGCTCCCTCCGCACGCCCTCCCTGGGCAGGAAAACCACCGGCCTCCGCCCTGGCGCCGTCCCCGCCGATGCCCAATCAATACGCACTTATTTCCTGTCCATTTGCTGAAGTCACGGAAACGGGCCTCATTAATTATTTCTGCCGGCGCAGCCTCAAGTGTGCTTCTGGCACGACAAGTGAACGCGTGACCTTTTTTTATTTCCCCCGTCTTTCTTTTTCCTTTTTCTCCCCCTTCCCCGAATTTTGCCTGTCATGGAGGGAGGTCAGGCGGGTCCCTGCCGATGGGCACCAGGCAGCTCCCACGAAGAGCTCAGGAGAACCGGGTCACGGCGTGGACGATGTTGGCCAGGGCGGCTCTGGCCTCCGAGGGAGGGAAACTCTCCAGGGCTGCCAGTGCGCGGTTTCCATGGCAACGGCACAGGTCGATGGCAGAAGTCACACCTTTGCCAGCCTTGATCGCTTCTTGCAGCTGTTGGGAAACACAGGCATGGAGAGACTGCTCCGGCAGGGCCGGCGCACGGTTAGCTGTGATGGCGGTGCTTCCATCACCTTTTCCCGAGGTAAAGGCAATCACCAAAGCAATTAGAAACAGCTCTCAGAATGGTCTCAGGTGTACAGCTGCTCCATTCTGGCCCCAGACTACAATAAAACTGCAGGTGATTTAACGCTCATCGCCCACTGAGAGCTGCCAGCTCTCCAGGGAGCACAGAGCAATACAAGACTTCAAAACATCTGAGCATTTCCACGCCACTGCCTGCGAGTTGCTGTGCAGCACTGGCACACTGCACATTCACTTGATCTCCCATTTGCTGCAGTGAGAAGCTGGATTTTATAAATGCTCATTAAGGATGGCATGCATGGGGCTTTTGCCTTCTGTACTACAGATTGCTATTAATACACTGCATGATTACATTTCTGACAGTGGACAAAAGCAAATTGTCAGTAAAGCAAGGTTTGTTCAACTTTATCATACTCAACTAAGTCTGGATAGAACAGCTTAGGTTGGAGGGGACCTTACAGATCATCCAGCTCCAGGCCCCTGCTGCGGGCAGAGCCACCACTCCCCAGTTCAACTGCCCAGGTTCCATACAACCTGGCCTTGAACAGCTCCAGGGATGGGGCACCTACAGCTTCTATGGGCAGCCTGTGCTGGTGCCTCACTGCCCCCTGCATAAAGAATTTCCTTCCGGCAACTCTTTTGGTTTGAAGCTGTTCCCCCTTGTCCTATCACTATCAGACTGTGTAAAAAGTCAGTCCTCCTCCTGCTTGTAAGTTCTCTTCAAGTACTAGAAGGCCACAGTGAAGTCTCCCTGGAGCCTCCACTTTTGCAAATTTAACAATCCCAATTCCCTCAACCTTTCTTGAAAGGAAAGGTGCTCCACCCCTCTGAGTATCTTTGAGGCTCTTCTCTAAACCTGCTCCAACAGCTCTGCATCCTACTTGTCCTGGTGCCCCAGGGCTGCATGCAGAACTCCGGATGGGGCCTCAGGAGGTCAGAGCTGAGGGGGATAATCACTTCCTTCACCCTGCTGCCAACCCCTCTTCTGATGCAGCCCAGGATATTGGTGGCCTTCCAGGCCCATCCTCTCAATAAGGACAGGCAAACTGAGAATGGTTCAGTGAAACACCCGATGAGAAAGTAAAATTCCCCGTGACATTCACAGCAAGCTGCTGGAAAGATCTGGTATCTAAAAAACTTGGGTAAATGACAGGTTAAGTTTCCCACAAAATAATACAGACAATTATCCCTAAACCATGACAGCATTTCATCATCCTTAATATGTCCCACATGGCTTTCATTGTTTAGTTTCATCACGGTATCAGCTTTTTGTTTGTTTGTTTTAAAAAGGCTTTTCTTGAACACAGGTGCCTACATTAATTACACAGGGTTCTATAAATTATGTTTTCCTCCAACACGTAGCACAATGCCCCAATTCATTCACAAACACATCATTAAAACTGTAGCAACCTAGAAGTAAATCACGTCAAAAATATCTAAGCCACGTCCAAACTGTAGAAGTCATCCATTTTATAGATACTTGCATTTAGTTAAAATGAATGATATTTCTTAATACAAACTGAAGTGGATTCATTATCCGTATTTAAAGATGAAATTAGCTGAAAGCATATTACAGCACTTGAGTGTTCAGGTCCCAGTTCATAAAAATTTTATTTTCCTTTTCAGTTAGAATCTTTCTGTGCTGTGCTTTGGAGAACTAACCTGGAGGCAAAACTGCACTGCATCGTTAATTCAACACATCTTTTAACAAATAGGACTCAGCCGTACAGCACAGCTCTGCTGCGAAGGTGGGGACAGGTGAGAGTGAGGAGGTACGTGAACAGCATGGAAAGGTATTTCCTCTCTGCTTCCTTCAGTCATAACGTTGAGAGATGGCAGAGCCCACACACTTGAAGCTAACTGCTGATTTGTTAAAGCTCACTAGAAATGTTTAAAGTACCTGCTAGTGCTCATGTAAGTATACACTGAGATGTAAACTGGAAAGAAATCAACTTCTACAAAATCTTTACAATCTGGAATGAGGGAGAATTCAAAAACTGACAGAAGGACACAACCTATTTATGTGCTTGTTTTGTGCAAACCTGTAGACTCATACAGTGCCTTGAAGACAAAACAATTGAAAAAAACATCAGACCAATCTACTATTGAATGTTTGCAGGCAAAGTTCAAGGAACCTCTAAGCGAAAAAATCTCTGCCTGTATGACAGGTTCCTTCCTCAGCTTTTTACTCATGAACAATTTCACAGTCCTTAACAACTTTGTTTTGTGCTCCATTTGCAGAACCAGCCAGCCAATTCAAGTAAGTATACATACACTGAGGTAAACCAGCCTGGATTAATCAGAGTGAGCGTTACCTCTGTCTCAGACACGGCTGTTAAAAAGGAAGGGGAAAAAAAACACGAGTACAAATTGGGCTTCTTGTAGCAAGAAAGTTATTAAAGAAATTCAAGATGTAACTCCATAGGAAACCAGGCTTCAGTAGTCCTGCTTTACACAAAACAACTGATTTATGTATTTAGCTGCACTGTTAGTTTTACTGGAGCTACACTTGCTCTCAATTTTTGAACTTCAGTGATTTCATGTAATGAACTTCACAAATTAAGTACATTAAAAAATCCACATATCCAGTTTAGATGTATTATTCCTATTATTTCATTTAGATAGGAACAGATAATTTTTTAGGCAAATTAATAGAAAAGAAAAACAAACTCTTTCAATTTATTACTGTATAAACTTCAATTAAGCTCCCTTGTTAATTTCTTCTAAACAAAGGGATCACATATTCTGGTCTCTACTTACAAGGCTTCATTTTGCGCTAGCATATTTCCACTGGTAGGAACAATTTCATCTATCATTAAAATACAATCTACTTCAGAGCAGCATTCAATAATTAAAACAGAATACAGGTCAAAATACAGATTACTTAGACTTTTTTTTTTTTTTGCCAGTTCAACTGCAAGATATGCTGGAATACTGCATTTTAAATTTTTGGCTTTTGTTCCAACCACTGGCAATAAAGCCTTACTTCTTTCTAAAGGTGCCAAGCATGTGAAAGTTCACAGAAGGGCTCTTGTTTCAATTCAGCTTTAAGAATAGTTTTAAAATAGTGCAGCCCAATTAAGATTCATAAGGGAAGCAATAACCCCTCCCAGCAAACCAACACTGTTTTTCCTCAGCACCCTCAATCTATCCAGATGTTTACCAGGCTTAGTGGTTTTTCACTGTACACATGAAGCTCAGAAACACAAAGTTTTTTTGTCTGAAAGGTTGCTCTGTGAGTCTAAAAAAAAGCAACACAACAACAAAATCTTCAACTAAATTCAAATCAACAAGAAATAGGTTGATAGGTTCCATTTCTCTCATATTTGAACCATACTTTTTCCTTCACAGTTACCTACACACCTATTTTTTCTTGAAACAGTGTGCCCTTGCAGCAAAGATCATGAACCAACCTCAGGCTGCATTAGCAAGGAAAGGCTGCAAATTGCTTGGTTTGGCTTAAGAGTAGAAGGCTGGAATTGCTGCCCCGACCATCAAGGACCAGTGCAAAGGAGTCACTGATCAAAGGCTTATGTGGAAAGGAGGAGAAGCACTGGGCTCAGGTAGCAGCATGAGAAATGCTGATGAGACTCAAGGAAATTCTTTTCCACTGGGAGGACAGTCAGTCCAACAGGTTTCTCAGGCAGGTTATAAGAACTCAAGTTCTTGCAGGTATCCAGATCTCAGACAAGGCTCTGAGCTGATCAATTCACACTAGCTCTGCTCTGAGCAAAATGAGGGACCAGATGTTCCCCAGAGTTCCCTTCCAACTTCAATTACCATATCATTTTGTGACTAAAGCGGAGTTCTGAGCACTGTTTTCTAGTCTCCTTGTCTTAGAAAGTAAAAAGAAAATTTAACACAGAAATTACATATTTGCCTTCCAGAGCAACTGTTCTGGTCTCCTACTGGAAAAGACTGCTTGACTGAGGGCAACAAAAGGACAAAAGGGCAAGCTAGGAACTGCTGGATTTTGGAGACTGAAGAATCATGAAGACAAAAAACCAGCAGGTGTTCAAGTATAAAGGAACAACTTCAATTCTTTTGTGCTGATATATCTTTACCTTATTTTCCAGCCTAAGGAAAAACAAGATTCCTTTTAGACAGTTCTACCTACAGGGAGCAATACATTCTGCAGAGGGAAAGACTGTGAATATGTAGTAAATATTTTGATAGCACTAAATTTTATGTGCAAATGGAGAAGAGCACAGGAATTCCTTTTTCTTTTTAGTAATGATCAAATTTAGAATTAAGTGACAAGATAACAAGCAACTATAGAAAAAAAAAATGTATTTTTTGTTTGAATGGTCCTGAACACCTTAATTTCTTCTACACTGAAATCTTCAAACACCCTGTATGAACTGATCTTGAACTATTCTAAATTTCTGAAACATACATTATTTACCAAAGTAGAACCCCCAAATACAAAATGTAAATCGGTTTGTGGCTGAGTGACTGACTAATGCATTGTTTACAGTGCTCTGAACTAGCTTTTCTAAATCTGTTCTCTCTTTACTTGGTAAGAACTATATTACTGCTGAAACGTCACCTTAAACAGTCTTAAAGCCTATTTTACAGCCAGTAGATCAATTTTTTGATTTTTTTCCTATATTTTTGAAGTACCTTGGGGTGTCTCAGCACCCACTCGCAGTCCTTATGGCCAAACACAGATTAATACTCTTCCTTCTCAATCTAGGCTGGACAGTCACTTAAGTGCATCACTTCATACTATCACTGAATACATTTTTTCAGACTTTGTTGTTATATGCAAAATAATATTACATTTGAAAAAGCAATGATAAATACATTTATGCAATATTTGCCTTTTTTTTTTTTTAATATAAAAGGTTAAAAAAAAATGCACCTTTAAAGAGCATAACAGCCATTAGTAGAACAGGATTTATTTTCCT